TAGTTTAACATTTTCAAACAATGCTACATGTCTGAGAAGTCTCTTTTTTGCACGGATTGGAATTGCTTTTATACTGTTTCTCAGAAGAGATGAGCGGGTATAATAAACTCTGCTCTATTTTTCCTCTTGCCTTTTTTTTTTTCCTGACTAGTTTTTTCCTCCTATAAAAAGAGGGAGTTGAGAGAAAGAGATTTGGCAATTTATTACTGTTAGGGAATTTGGGATGAATTTGGGGGTAACAGCCTATATTTTGGCTATATAATTCAAGAACAATTCTCATAAATTCCATCTTTTGGCCATACAATAAATCCTGTTCTGGGCAAGCAACTGTGGTTTCTGTTGCCAGTAGAATTAAGACAGTATGCACTAGGGCTGGGCAAATAGATTTTGGAAAGGGACCTAAAGGTTTACTATTCCATATCTGACTTTGATAGTTTCTTGTCACTTCTTTGAGTCATCTTAAGTTGCTATACTGAAACTGAGGATACTGACCTAGATTAATTGTTAAAATATGAGGTATTTTATTCTTGTCCCATTTTTTTTGACCAAATAAAATCCACTGAATATAAGTCAGTGTGATTTTCAGAAGTAATTCTGGTTTTAGAGGAATTAAATCTAAATGTGTTAATTTGGCACCCTTTTCTTCCCCTAATAACTTTCTCAGTGCTACTTTCTACTATCATTTTCTTTTTCTGATCTGCAAGGCAAAACAGCTGTAGATTAAAGTCTGAGGCTTAAAACTTGACCAAGTTTTAGCTTTGATTAGCTAATAAGATTATGCCAAGTTGAAAACGAATTATAACTTAACCAAACCTAGTAAAACAATGTCAGCATAGACATTAATTCTTGGTTTTCTCACTTAATGTTTTTTTGTTCAGTTTAGTAATCGTAAAAGTATAATGTGAGGTATGGGGAAGAAAGAAATGTTAAAAAGCAATGTATGTATGTTTGTCTGATTGCTTGGAGCTGTGGTGATATTTTTCATTTTCTTTTCCGGAGTCAGAGGGAAGATGTTACTATTCTTACTTTATTATGCCAAATATAATTTGTTTGTTTAGTACATAAGCATTGTAAATTCTGTCTTTGTTTGATGAGTGGAAAGGCATCAGTTCAAATGATGATGTACTTATGATCATAACTATGGTTATGCAGCCACTATAGTGGCTGCAGTTTGTTCTTATATTCATGCATGGCTTTGTATTTGAATTTTAGGCAAGCCACTTCAAGTAGTTGCTTAACTAAGGTACCACAGTCCTTTAAACTGTTCCTTGCTACAACAAGTTACATAAGGGGTTGGGAAGCAGAAGATTTTTGAAAGCTGAGGAAATTACAAATGGGAAAAGAAGATCTAGTAACTCCCTGAAAAAGATGACTGTTTATTTGGCTCTAGTAAGACCTAAAAGGTGACCTCACTTTTGGTTAAAGGCAGAGGTAGTTAGGGCTTGTGAAGTGTGTTGTGCTGAGGAAGGGGGAAAAAGAAAAGCGCGAAGAAGCAGGAAGGACAAGTGGATAAATGTAAAGAAATCCTGAAAATCTGAACCCACCACTTCTTCTATGACTATATCAAGTGTAAACTGAGACAACAAATGTGATAGGAGTGTAGAAACAGATCCACATCAAGACTGCCACCTCTTGCCATCACAGTCCTGAAACTGGCTGTTGGTACAGGATGACCCTTGCCACCCTGTGTCAAGAAGTTCATTGCAAAATATATAGAAGGAGAAATTAATTACCAAGAGCACCCATATTGAAATCCTACCCTTTGACTTCATGCAACAGATGCCATAGGCCACGTTCTGCTGTAACCTTACTTGAAATGATTCAATGAGCTATTAAAAGGAGAGTGCTTCAAGAATGCCAGCTTGATATTAGGTCAGTGGCCACAGATTTATGGACCATTAGCACACCAGGATAATTATGTAATTAATTAAGGAAGAAAAGTGGTGTTTCAGCAGTGATAAGTAGTTGCCCAGAATAGCAATTAGTCAAAAGACTTTTAGTGTCATTGTACTGAAGGAAGTATGTAACTGTAAGAGTTATAGATGCCTGTTATCAAATAGCTAAATATATGTTTTAGTTTAGTAAATTAGTTAATTAGTAAATTAGGGTTTTAATTAGTAATTTAAGTAGTTGATTATCTTGACACTTGCAAATTCTTTGGATGGATGTCATGCATCTCTGTTGTATTTACCCTATCAAGAAACCTTAAAGGATGGTTGTGATCAGACAAAGAAGAAAATTACTTCTTTTTTGAAGTGTTTTCTTTTTTTTTTGTGTGTCTTTTTTTACAGTTGTGGAAAGTCATTGTTTTATGACATCTTTATGTTCATATTTACTTTTTATAGTCAGCAGGAGCCAGGCAAATGTAGTGTATATGCAGTGAATGTAGTAGTGTCCTAGGCAACAACTACATGTTAGATTAGAATTAAAGGAAATTGTCAAGTTTGGCTTTTATTTTATTTTAAAAATCATCTTATTTGTGATAAATATGGGACAGGATTTCAATGATAAATGAAGAATAATGGAAGTCTTAATTTAAAGGGCGAGATACATTTGTCTAGTCATGCCAATTCTCTATGACACTTTTCTGTTCATACTTCAGAAGAGCAGACTTTCTGTATTATACAAGTGCCTTATCTGACTGTACTGACAATTATGGTCAGTCCTGAGCATAAAAATTTTCTTGGGAGAATAAAATCATTCTACACTTTAAAAGAAATTAGAGCTCAGCATTCTGTTTTGATTGTCAGCATATCTTAAAACCATAAGGTTCTGAGAATCTTCAGATTCTCAGAAAAGGGGAAACCTTATTTTTATAACAAGGAGTTATTGCTATTTCAGGGTATTATGTGACACACCTCATCTTCTTTTAAGTGACTTGAAAAGATTTGGACCTTGGCATAAGCAGTTTATTTTGTATTTTAAAGGCCTGTTTGACTGGCTGATCTGCTGCATCTCTCAATAGAAAATAAAGATGTGTATGGAGATTTTTTTTTTTATGGCACAACATGGAAGCTATCTCTGAAGTACTGTGCCACACAGGGGGATTTTTCCCTCTGTCTCCTTACTCCACCAACTAGTGGAATAGTAAAATACAGGATCAATTCTGTGGTACTATTTAAACTATATTAGTAGTGTGTATGATAGAAATGGAAGGCAAGTGACTCAACCCTTGGTGTGAGCAAGAAGCTATCAGAAATGGCATTGCAACTTAATGACAATTCTATTACTGTTTTCCCTAAGATCAGAATTTGATTTTTTTTTCTTTTGTGCCAGTTATATGAAACAATTCTTGTCCCAATAGTTTAGGCAAGAAAGCCCCATACCCCAAAGTACAGACTTATTTTTTGCTAGTGATATGTGGCAATTCTAGTCTATACACAGTAGGATTTAGCATATAAAGTTTCACATACAGAAGTTATACTTCTTTGAGAGTTAAGTTTTTGTGATTGCCTGAATGTGTATCAATAAAAGAACTAAATTTAGTTGGAAAGAAATTAGTTTTTATCAAAGTAAACTTATGGCTAGCTAAATCCCCTGCAAACACCAGTAAATATATTCTTACACTCTGATTAAAGTATATGTTAAGCACCATTTTTTACCTTTTAAATCTTTCTGAACCTGTGCTGAAAACCACTACCATACTACAGCGTTACTGAAGAACACTCATTTTGGTATGAGGCTAATTAGTGGAAAATTTGGAAAGGTAGTTCCAGACAGAGGGGTTAGTTTAAAAGTATTCAAAATTGTATTTAATGTGTGTGTTGTGTTCCATGAAGTACATATCTCTCTACAATAAAGATTGTTTGAAAGATAGGACTTCTTTTCTTTTCTGCATTTGGGCCAAAGGTCTGTTTTCTATAAAACTTATGTCTGTTTTAACTTATACAGTAATTTCAACTACTTCACTATATTGATTACTAGTTAAAAATAGTTTGCCACATTGTGTATAAATAGCCCAATGAATATTTGGAAAGTGATGTAAATATTTTATAATATTAGGGAAAAAGACTTGCATAGCATGAGTTAAGTAAATCCTGCATTAAAATACCATCATTGTTTAAGGAAGCCTGAGTGTAATTCCTCAAATGATAATTTGTTTTTTCACCTATTCTTAAAATTTTTGTATTTCTCTTTTTGTGTTCAGATGCTGGAAATTCTGCAAGGTTCAGTCAAGTGCATGTGAATACACACGTGTGCACGCACATGCGCGTGCACACAGAGAGTTCCTAATTTTATTATCTTGTTACTGTCTTGGCTTTGGCTTTCCACACTTGGACTTCCACTGCTTCACATTTGAGTGTGAACTTCCTGGGGGGGCATTCTTTTATGTTTTAAGTTACTCAGAATTTCCATCTGCTTTTACTTGACTTGTGGTTGTGAAGATCATGCTTGGCCCATGGGATCTTACACTGCGCCGAGAGGATGTGGAGTTTTGTCAGCCAGGGAAATATGTCTGGCTGCTGCCTTTTTTTTTTTTTTTTTTTTTTTTTTTTTTGGCGTTTTTTTTTTTTTTTTTTTTTTTGCTTGACACAGGAGAGCCACTGCCCGCGGAGTGAGGGGACCCAGGGGACAGGCTTTTCTGGACAAGCCTGGGGGCTCCTGGGCCCAGCCCA